ACATTCTATCTATCTATCTATCTATCTATCTATCTATCTATCTATCTATCTATCTATCTATCTATCTATCTATCTATCTATCTATCTATCTATCTATCTATCTATCTATCTATCTATCTATCTAATTTATATACTGCCCTCATTAGTGCAGTTGGTGGTTTACAGACAGCTAAAACAAACTATGAAAAACTAAATACAGCATAAATAGCAAAAAACATGGTCTAAAAACGTATACAATGGCTCAACCAATTTTCAGAGTGAGGCAAGACTGGAGGCAAGACACTCAGTTGGGGTTGACGTGAAAGGCCTCCCTGAACAGTTGTGTTCTTCACTGCCTCCTAAATGAGTACTGGGAGGAGGCCCAGCGTAGCTCCTCTGGGAGTTAATTCCATAATGTAGACGATTCCATAATCTCTAGTAGACGGCTTTTTTGTAGTAGATGGCTCTTGGACTGGCTAGAGGAGCCTGACCTAAGAAGATCTGATGGGCTGGGCAGGTGGCATTGGGAAAAGACGCTCTGACAGGTAATGTGGCCCCAAATCACGAAGAGCTTTATACGTGAATGTCAGAACCTTGAACCTGATCTGGGACACAACAGGTGACCAGTGGTGGCTGGCCAGCACTGGGATCAAATTTACTCCCACCAGCTACCTGTCCGGCCGCTGCATTCTGGACCTGCTGTAGTCAATAACTATAGTTAGTTATAGGATATTATATTAACTATATAATCACCTGGTTTGGCTCTAAGTCATAACACTTCAGACAACAAGTGCAAATTTTAAAAAAAACAGCCTATTGCTGCATACAAACAAATTCCTGAAAGGAAAAATCTACAATCTCTGGTGTAAGATATTTTTTAAACATTGTAAATAGTGGCAAATTGAACATAATACCTGACCAAAACTATCCATTAAGCAACAATCTAAGCAGCAATAAACTGATCCAATTCATGAGTATCTGATTATTTACAATCTAGGTGTAGCAAGGGGGGGAGAGAGCATTTGTTTTTAAAACAATCTAAGCAGCAATAAACTGATCCAATTAATGAGTTTCTGATTATTTACAATCTAGATGTAGCAAGCGGGGGGTGGGGGAGTATTTGCTTTTAAAAAGGAAAAACCATACCCTGCTTAGGACCTGCTCTTTCTCAAGGAACAGACATAAATAAATAAATAAATAAATAAATAGGAAGAACCATACCCTGCTTAGGACCTGCTTTTTCTCAAGGAACAGACATGGGAGATTGTATCTTAAGGTGACTTGATTAATTTTTGCAGTTTTAATGTTAGAGTAAAAACAAATATTGGAAAATGAGCTACAGTAAAAAGATCAAGAAGAAAAACAGAGGTGCCATCAGGATAGGACCACCAGCCCCTGCATGACACCGTGAGTAGGAAGCCCTATCAAAGCAACAGGACTGGCTTTTCATAAGTGGAAATAAATGGACTGATACTCATTACTGTCTGAAGATCCACCACTGGTCAAGTCAGAGTACTGATTAGGCTAGAACTTGGAAGAGTCATTTCTTCTCCTTGCTGAGCCATAAAACTCACCAGATAATCTTGGGCCATTTACTGTTTCTGCCAAACATTCTTTCACTCCCTGACTGAGAGACAGAGAAACTCTTGTCCTGCCTACCTTGTAGAGTTGTTGTGAGGATGCAGTGAAGAAGAGAGCAATGTATACTGTTTTGTGCCCACATGAGAGAAGGTACCATAAGATATTAATGTAATAATAATCGTGTGCTGTCAAGGTAATTCTGATTTATACCTATTCTTAAGATATAAATGTAACAAGGAATAAACGAGAAGACTAGGGACTCTGTACATTAAGATTACATATCACCAGTAAAAAGGCAATCAGACTGTAAAGCTGGGAGCTCTGAAAATGAAAAGATGCATAAAATGTAGTTGTGAAAACGCTTCATGCATAATGCTGACAAAATGTCCTCTAACACAAATAATGTAATGCTTCTTTGGTTGCGTTTCTCTGGCTGCAGAGACAGATTCTGCTGAAAGAGAGATGACTGCATCTCTTAAAAAGGAAGAAAGATCTCATCAACCCACATCAGGGCATCATTCCATGGCAACTTCCCGGTCGACTCCTGGTCTCACTTTCCCCAAGGTCAATGAAATCATTCTGAGCTTATCCCAATACATGGAGCGCAGGAACTGGAATGGGCAATCACGTAGTTTGGGAGAGTTCCTGGTTTTTTTTTTACTACAAATCCCAGAATCCCCTACCCAGGCTGGAATTTGTAGTCCGAACCCAGGAATGTACCCAAATCCTGGGCAAGCAGTGAGCTAGAGTCTGGATCTCAGATTCCATTCTCCATTTTGTGGATGTCTCTATCTCAGCTGTGGAAGGGGGGTTACTCGTTTGTGGGAGGGAGCCAACGCTATTCTGGAATGTGTGCCCACTATAGTGGTGAATTATGGCTGTCACCGCTCTGTCAAGATCTGTTTTTACCAGCCGGATTGTCCTGGCCCTGCTGTAAGACAGAATGAGGCAGCTGCCCCAGTTGGGGTTGGAAGTCATGAAAAGGCAGAATTTTTTTTCTGTTACTCTTAGCGTTGTGTTCTCGAAGGTTTTCACAGCCAGGATCAGATGGTTATTGTGGGTATTTTGGGCTGTTTGGCCGTGTTCTGGAACCTTTAAGTTCAAGCAGAAGTCCTTTCCTAAAGATATTATCAGAACACGGCCAAACAGCCTGAAAACCCCACAACAACCACGCTTAGTGTTGTTTGCTGTGTTTTGTTTTATTTACTATTATAGAAAGTAACAGATTATGAGATATTGTGTCTCAAGTGCCAAAGATTGTTGGCTTTTGATAGTATGCACTGGGGGGGGGCACTTCCTGCTCTGCCTCCATCAGCAAATGTTTTGATTTCAGATTCTCATCCCCACTGAGCCGTTAAATTCATCAGATGGGCTAGATGCTATCTCTCTCAGCTCCAGGACATGAGGAATGTTTACCAGCTCCACCAATGAGAAATCTACAGCCTTGAATAAGACATGCAAAAATCATGACCACCACGCAATTAAGACTTGACTGCAGGGATATGTTTACTGTTGGGCTTCCCTTGAAGATAGTTCAGATGGTTCACTCTGTCTTCTAAAATGTTTGGGTCAGCAGCAGCACATACCACTAATGCTCCTCCATCTGCACCAACTCCTTATTCCACGTTTCATGCTCACCTTACTTGCTAATTATCTAGAAAGCTTACTATTGCTAAGTTCCATCCATTGCCACCTTTAAGTTTAAGCAGAAATCCTTTTCTAAAGATATTATCAGCATACTAAATGAAGGCCACAAGGTGTGTCTGTTTTTTGTTTGTTTTGTTTTTTGGCAACTGCCTCTCAATTTGGTAATTTCTTGCCTTGGAGATTCACCAGAGTCTGATCCTGTGCATATCAAAGAGCTGTATAAAATATGTTTCTGTAATTTGCCTTAGGATAATTAACATGTTATAACCCACTTCCTTAAGCTGAACTGAGCAAACCCAGAAATAAAGAAATGCTTCAGGGAATCCTTCTCCCTCTTATTTTGGGACACACTGTTGTTCCATTGTCTACATCAGCGGAGAGCAAAGCATGGTATGTAGGGTTCATGTGGTTGTTGCTGTTTAGTCGTTAAGTCGTGTCCGACTCTTCGTGGCCCCATGGACCAGAGCACACCAGGCCCTCCTGTCTTCCACTGCCTCCCAGAGCTGGATCAAATTCGTGTTGGTCGCTTCGATGACACTGTCCAACCATCTCATCCTCTGTCATCCCCTTCTCCTCTTTCCTTCACACTTTCGTAACATCAGGATCTTTTCCAGGGAGTCTTCTCTTCTCATGAGATGGCCAATGAACTGGAGCCTCAGCTTCAGGATCTCTGCTTCCAGTGAGCACTCAGGGTTGATTTCCTCCAGAATGGATAGGTTTGTTCTCTTTGCAGTCCAGGGGACTCTCAAGAGCCTCCTCCAGCACCACTATTCAAAAGCAACAATTCTTCGGCAGTCAGCCTTCTTTATGGTCCAGTTCTTACTTCCATACATCATTACTAGAAAATCCATAGCTTTGACTATGCGGACCTTTGTCAGCAAGGTGATGTCTCTGCTTTTAAAGATGCTGTTGAGGTTTCGTATCATTTTCCTCCCAAGAAGTAGGCATCTTTTAATTTCGTGGCTGCTGTCACCATCTGCAGTGATCATGGA